CATGGATGGACCCAGAGGGCATTATGTGAAGTGAAATAAGCCAGGCACACAAAGAAAATAACCCGTGTTCACACTTGCTTGTGGGATCTAAAAATCAAAGCACTTGAACTCGTGGGGACAGAGAATACAAGAATGGTTACGGGAGCCTGGGAAGGGGGTAGGAGGAGGAAGGTGGGATGATTAATGGGTACAAAAAAAATAGTTTAAGAAATGAATCAGGCCAGGCACAGTGGCTCACGCCTACAATCCCAGCACTTTGGGAAGCCGAGGCAGGTGGACTACCTGAGGTTAGGAGTTCGAGATCAGCCTGGCCAACATGGTGAAACTTCATCTCTACTAAACATACAAAAATTAGCTGGGTGTGGTGGCAGGCACCTGTAATCACAGATACTCGGGAGGCTGAGGTAGGAGAATCCATTGAACCCAGGAGGTGGAGGTTGCAGTTAGCCGAGATCACGCCACTGCACTCCAGCCTGGGAGACAGAGTAAGACTCCATCTCAAGAAAAAAAAAAAAAAAAAAAGGAATAAGACCCAGTATTTAGCCCAACAGGAGACTGTAGTCAATAATAATTTAATTGTGCATTCAAAAATAACTAAAAGAGAGGCCAGGCGCAGTAGCTCATGCTGGTAATCCCAGCACTTTGGGAGGCCAAGGCGGCTGGATCATGAGGTCAGAAGATCAAGACCTTCCTGGCTAACACAGTGAAACCCTGTCTCTGCCAAAAATACGAAAAATTATCCAGTGTGGCGGTGCATGCCTATAGTTCCAGCTACTTGGAAGGCGGAGGCAGGAGAATCACTTGAACCCAGGAGGCAGAGTTTTCAGTCAGCCAGTTCCTGCCACTGCACTGCAGCTTGGGTGACAGAGTGAGATTCAGTCTCAATTAAAAAAAGAAAAGAAAAACTAAAAGTATAATTGGATTGTTTCTAACACAAAGGATAAATGCTTGAGGGTATGGATACCCCATTTCTATGTTGTGATATGATTACACGTTGCATGCCTGTACCAGAACATCTCATGTACTCATCAGTACATACACCAGGCCAGGCAGAGTGGCTCATGCTCAGCACTTTGGGAGGCCAAGGCAGACGGATCACTTGAGCTCAGGAGTTGGAAGCCAGACTGAGTAACATAGTGAAACCCTGTCTCTACTAAAAATTAAAAAAAAAAAAGTCAGGTGTGGTGGTGCAGAGAGCTGAGACGAAGACTGACATGAGTCATGATCACACCACCACACTTAAGCCTGGGCAACAGAGCAAGACCCTGTCTCATACACACACACACACACACACATACACACACACACATATCTATACATACACACCTAAATTTGTGTATATAATTTTATATAATTCATTATAGTTTACATATTATATATAATTCATTGTATAATTTTTTTTTTTTCGAGACAGAGTCTGACTCTGTCACCCAGGCTGGAGTGCAACGGTGCAATCTCGGCTCACAGCAACCTCCAACTCCCAGGTTCAAGCGATTCTCCTGCTTCAGCCGCCTGAGTAGCTGGGATTGCAGGCACGTGCCATCATGCCCAGCTAATTTTAATATTTTTAGTAAAGATGGGGTTTCACCACGTTGGCCAGGATGGTCTCGATCTCTTGACCTCATGATCCGCCCGCCTCGGCCTCCCAAAGTGCTGGGATTACAGGTGTGAGCCACTGCACCTGGCCCTGTTTTTTTAAATTAAAAATAAAATAAAACAAAGAATGTCAGTGTTTCTGAAAGGCCACTGTCCAGAAAGAACACAGAGCATATTCCAGATTTGAGTTGTCCATTGGGTCATCAGCCACGTTGTGCTGAAAAACACAAACACAGCTTTTACACACACTCATAATACAAAGTCCCTATCACCGAATTTAAAATCTCCTTCAAAGACCATCGCATAAAATGAACATCTTGTATTGCTGGATGTCACTCAAAAATGGCAGCTATTTGAATTTCACTGTCTTCAGACTTTTAAAATTTTTCTAAAAATGTTTTGTCCTTCATGGGCTGTATAAAAGCATCGACAATTATCTACTCACAGTCACAGCGATGGTGTTCAAGCCCAGGCCAGGCTAAATGAACTGCCCCCACCATGCATGCCTGCCCAGGTCCTGAAACAGGTGCCCCCCCCACCCCCGTCCCTCTGGAATGGCTCCCACTAAACACAAAACATCCCTGCCCTGCCCCCAGCATGGAACTGTTCCCACCACCTCGCCCCTCATTAAACCTAAACCCTATTATTGGGCCAAGTCATTTTTAAACAGGCCAAATTTCCCATGCAGGTCTGTCCCATGCAGCACCTCCTGGGCCGTAATATTGCATCAAAGGATTTAGGGCACGGCTATAAATCCTGGGGTACCAACAACACTCCATTGAAAACAGTGGATGAGTTTGAAACCACCGCTTCCCCACATTGTTCCTTAATAAAACCTCCAGTTAAGTCAAGGGCTGATCTTTTTGTTTGCTGTTTTTCTACCGGGTGCTTTGCCATCTGGAACTACAGCTCTTATGGTCATAGTGATTTGCTTCTTTGGAGCATTAAATCCCGGTCAAACGGTCTGAGGTTTCTGCATATCCTAGCATGCCTACTTCATTTTATCTTTCTTATTTATTTATTTAGAGACAGAATCTCACTCTGTTGCCCAGGCTGTAATGCAGCGGCAGGATCTCGGCTCACTGCAACCTCTACCTCCCAGGTTCAAACGATTCTCCTGCCTCAGCCTCCCAAACAGCTGGGACTACAGGCATCGCCACCACGCCCGACTAATTTTTGTATTTTTAGTAAAGACAGGGTTTCACCATGTTGGCCAGGCTGGTCTCGAACTCCTGACTTCACGTGATCCACCCGCCTCGGCCTCCCAAAGTGCTGGGATTACAGGCATGAGCCGCCGTGCCCAGTCATATGCCTCCTTTAAAGCAGAGCACCCATTTGACACCGGAATAATTCAGTTTAGCAACTAATTCGTCAAAAATGTTCTCTTAAAGAAGAGGGGGAATGTGAAGGGCGGCCTGTTTTCTGCGGATAGTGGTTTAATGCCGAGCCCCTGCCCACGGGCTGTGCAGCCCTGAGGATGTCACTCAACACCCCTGAGCCTCAGTATCTTCATCTGTAAAATGAGCAGCAGCATAGCACCACCGAACTCCCAGTTACCAGGGAAACAAATGACAGCACCAGTCAAAGAGTAAAGAAAACTGCTTGCTGGAACCCAGTCAAAGGTAACCATTGTCATCTGGGGCGGGGTGAGGCGGGGCGGGGTGGGGTGTGCGTGCATGAGGGCCCAGTACTGCATTTACACAAGGGCTTGTCAGCAAAGCAGCAGAGCAAAGAACTGGATGACGGAGACGGTGACTACTCAGCGTGCAGCCCCCAGCCCAGGTTCAACTGTGGTCCAGGCTGTGCGCCCCAGGTGGGATGGCCTCAGGATCCAACCTCCTTGGAAGGGAATCCATCCTAAACCCAGCTGCCTGACTAACTGCGGGGGGACCCACATTACTGATGCCGCAGACACACAAAACATCCCCGCTCCCAGCACAGAACTGTTCCCACTACCTTGTCCTCGTTAAATCTAAACCCTATTATTGGGCCAAGCCATTTTTAAACAGGCCAAATTTCCCATTCTATCAGATAAAGTGGAACAGAAGAAAAACTTCCTAAGAATATCCATAATCCCAATTAATTCGCCCTTAAGAGCCTATTCCATATTCTCCACACATTTTACGATCTCACAAAACCTAAAATATTCACCAACAAATAGACTGTACCGCCAAAACTGCACAGAAGGTTTGTATCATATCAAAACTGAATCTGTAAGTTTCACATCTATAAACAAACAACTGTAACTGGAAGCTGTTAGCTATCCAACCCCTCCTATATCACAGAGTTACAGCCAACCTCGGAAACAAAACAAATCAGAAAGTTAACTTGTTAATTCTTCCAGGGCTCCCGTGGCAATGCTGTATCCTAATAACTCACGGTTTAAATAACTCCTCCGAAACGGATTCAAGCAGCGGGCCAATATGAGCTCATCCTGGCAGTGGTCTTATAAATAAGGCCGCCTGCCTGCAGCAACACCCTTGGATGCATGGTCAGGCAAACCTCAAAGAGCCACTGGGGGACCTTTATTGCTCCCCCAGGCCCCGCCAATTCTCTTCTGCGTCTCCCAATTCCAACACATTCTATCAGGGCCCCTCCCCAGCACCACAGGCCAGCCCTGGTCCTCGGGGTCAGAGGCGTGGAGGACCCGCCAAGCATCTGACCGCCGCGCCAAGGCTTCCTCTCCCTTCTGTTCACCTCCAGCCCCAGGGCCGGCAAGCAAGTTTCCCACACTGGCCCCACCACTAACTGGGCAGGCCTCTTCAACAGCACCCAAATTACAAGCCCGTGTCCAGGAACAGAAGCCAAGATGAAATGAGGCTATGCTTTTCAAAGAGCTTACACAAAGCCCTGCACACAGCCGCCCCGACTGTTATTATCTGGAGGAGACAGAAAATCGAGACCAGGGGAACACCGGCTGCATTACAGGGTGACTCAGGGGCCCGGCTGACAATCGCCAACGGTGCCACCCTGGAATTAATTGGCACATGGAAGGGGCAGTGATCTCTGATCTTCCCAGAGAGCCCTGTGGCTGGCTGATGAAAGAGCATACCCAAGCAAACCCTGTGACCCAGATCACCCGGAGGCCACATTTTAATAGCTGTGCTCAGGAGCCACTAGCCTGCTGAGGAAGGCGCCGAGCCCTGGTTTTGAACTTGGAGAAGCAGAAGCACAGGCCTGCTCCCAGGAAAATGCTGACGGAAGCAACGCAGTGCCTCTCCCCCTAGCTGGGCCTGAGTGGGGCGCTCGCCCCCAACATCCAACCAGAGGCAACAAATCTTTGCAGAGCTCCCCGCGCCCGGCCCAAATGCGCCCCGGCATGCGAGGCAAGGCCCTTGGTGGGTTCCAGAGGTTCTCCAGACGGCCCACCCAGAGCCGCTCCTCCCGCCCCAACGGCCACTCACCAGACACGGACACCTCCATGAGCGCCTCCAGCGGCCGGTTGTTGTCCAGGTCCCGGCTGAGCTGCAGCTCACCCGTGGCAGGGTCCAGTAGCAACAGGTGCAGCTCATTGCCACGCAGGAAGGTGTAGTTGAGGCTGTCCGACACATCCGGGTCATGGGCCGGGATGCGGCCGATCACGCCGGTGGGGAAGCTGTTTGACTTGTTGGTGACATAGTTGTTGAAGAGGATCTGGAAGTCGGGCAGTACTGGAGGGTTGTCATTCTGATCGACGAGAATAATGTGCACCGTGGCTCGGCTCACCAGCGGGGCCGACGTGGCCTGCACCACCAGCACATACTCCCGCCGGACCTCAAAGTCCAGCTCCACCAGGGCACGCAGGTCACCGTTCAGCAGGTCCAGCTGGAAGAAATGCCGCATGTCGCCCTCCACAATCTGATACATGATCTGGGCATTGGGGCCTTCGTCAGGGTCCTGAGCACGGATCTTTGCCACCACCGACCCCACCGGGTTGTTCTCCTCTACAAACAGCTCCAGCTCGTCCTTCTCAAACATGGGGGCATTGTCATTAATGTCCAAGATGGTCACCTGGACTTCCACCGAGGCGCTAAGGGCAGTGGGGCTGCCGCGATCCACAGCCACAGCCCAAAGGTTGTACACGGCCACGTTCTCCCGGTCCAGCCGGCGCTGGGTGCGGATGACACCAGACGTGGGCTCGATGTAGAAGTCCCCATCACCGTCGTCCCCACCCTGGAAGGTGTACAGCAAACGCCCATTGGGACCCGAGTCCCGGTCCGTGGCAGAAACCTGGAGGATGCTGGTGGAGGGTGGAGCATCCTCAAAGATGGAACCCTGGTAGAAATCCCACAGGAACTGGGGTGCGTTGTCGTTGGCATCGAGGATGAGGATCTCCAGGGTAGTGGTGTCCGACTTCTGCGGGATGCCGTTGTCCAGGGCCGTGATGGTCAGCGTGTAGGCAACCTGGTGCTCATAGTCCAGCTCCATCATGGTGTACATGGTGCCACTGTCGGGGTCAATGCGGAACTGCGGCACGGGGTCCTGAATCACGTAGGTGATGCGGGCGTTCTCTCCTGTGTCCTCGTCATTGGCACTGAGGGTAGCAATGGAGGTGCCCACGGGCCTGTCCTCACTGACGCTCACCGTGTAATGGGAGCTCTGAAAGACCGGCCGGTGGGTGTTGGCATCGGTGATGTTGATGAGGACATGCGCGGTGTGCGACCGTGTGCCATCGGACGCTGTCACCGCCAGCACATACTGCTGCTCCTGCTTGTAGTCCAGAGGAAGTGCCAGGGTGATGAGGCCACCTCCCCTCTGGCTGCTGAGCGCAAAGCGGTTCCGGGTGTTGCCGCCCGTGAGCTGGTAGGTGATCACGCTGTTGGCGTCGCGGTCTCGGGCCTGCAGGGTCAGCACGCTGCTCCCCACGGCCGCATCCTCGTTCAGACGCAGCTCGTAGGTGGGCTGCGTGAACACCGGGTCGTTGTCGTTCACGTCCAGCACCGTGATGGAGACGCTGGTGGAGGAGCTCATGGGGGGCGAGCCGTGGTCCACGGCCTCCACCCCGAAGCTGTAATGCTCCACCTCCTCACGGTCCAGCTCGGCACACAAAGTGATCCAACCGGAACTGTTGTGGATCTGGAAGGGGAAGTCCGGGGCCGGGACGGGGTTCTTAGGCCCAGCGCTGCCGCCCCCCAGAAAGGCGGAGGCCGTGTCCACCAGGCGATAGCGCAGCCGGGCGTTCTCCCCAGAGTCCGCGTCCACCGCCTGAATGTGCACCACGGAGTAGCCCAGGGGCACGTTCTCCAACACCGTGGCCTGGAAGGGGCTGCTCACAAAGATGGGCTCGTTGTCATTGACATCCAGCACCTGCACAGACACCACCCCGGAGGAATTGATGAGGGGAGGCCGGCCTCCATCCTGGGCTTTGATGCTCAGCGAGTACCTCTGGACATCCTCGAAATCCAGGGGGTTGATCACATCCAGGATCCCGCTCAGCGAGTGCAGGTAGAACTGCCCGGCCACGTTCCCGCTGAGGATGCTGTAGTGAATGGCCGCGTTCTGGCCCTGGTCTCGGTCCGTGGCCTGCACGCGCAGCACAGCCGTGTTGAGCCCCACGTCCTCGGGCACTTGGACCACGTAGTTCTGCTCGCTGAACTGGGGGTAGTTGTCATTCTCATCCTCCACCTCGATGTACACGGTGGCCGTGGCGCTGAGCGGGCCCGGGTTGCGGCCCTGGTCGCTGGCCTCCACCAGCAGCTGGTACTCGGCCGCCTCCTCCCGGTCCAGCACCGCGCGCGTGCTCACCACGCCGGAGCTCGCGTTCAGCTGGAAGACGTCCCACGCGCCCCCCAGCATGCGGTAGCGCATGTTGGCGTTGACGGGCGAGTCGCGGTCGCTGGCGCGGATGGTCAGCACCTCGTAGCCCACCTCCAGGTTCTCCCGCACGCGCTCGCGGTACTCCGACTGCTCGAAGACCGGGCTGTGGTCGTTGGTGTCTTTGACCAAGACGGTGATGTAGGTGGTGGCCGAGCGCGGCGGCGTGCTGTAGTCCACCGCTTTTACCCTGAGCACGTGCGTCTCCTTGGTCTCGCGGTCCAGTTCGCTGGCCGTGCTCACCGCGCCCGTGGCGGAGTCGATGCGGAAGTAGCCGCGGGAGCGCTCGTCGAACAGCCCCTCCATGTAATAGCTCACGCGCTCCTCCTCGCCCTCGACGGTGTAGTGCGCGTGAAGCTGGAGGAGCGGGGTGCCCGCCGGCTCGTTCTCAAACAACGCCACCTGGTAGTTGGGCATCGGGAACTTCAGGCTCCCTCGGCCGCTCGTGCCCCGCCGGGCCCGTCGCACCGGCCCGGCCCGGGTTTGGGGCAAATTAGGCGGCGGCGATGGCGGTGGCGACGGGGAGGGCGTCCCCGAGGCGGCGGCCTCCAGTGCCAGCTCCACCCGGACGGCGCCAGCCGCGCATCGCAGGGCGCACAGCAGACGCAGGCAGATGGGGCGGCCGGGACAGCCGGGCCCGGGACGCGGTGGGCAGCTGCAGGCGGGGACGGTGGTCGGAGCTGCGAGCACGGAACGCCGCGCGGCCGCGCCGCCACCGGGGAAGCAGAGCGTCCCGCAGAGCCCAGGCCCTGGGAGCACAGCCCGCGCGCTCCCGGCACGGCGTCGGCAGCCGGGATGGGGCGCGCGCGCCCGCAGGCGGAGGTTCAGCGCCGTCGGGGCACCGCGGGCCGCCAAGCGGACTTGCAGCGGCAGCGGGCGCCCCGCCAGGTGCATGCAGCCCCGGGGCCCGGCGCCAGAGACGCGCCGCCGTCCTGCCAGCCGCCCCTCGCGGCCCACGTCCAGCAGCTCCCGCGGCGTTTGCGCGGCGCCCACCGCGTAGGTACGGCCGGGCCCGAGGGCGAAGGCGCGGGCCCCGCCAGGTACGCGCAGCTCCCAGGCGGCCGCTCGCAGCCCCAGCGCCGGCAGGGCGGCGGCGGCGGCCAGGAGCAGCAGCACGGGCAGCACGGGCGGCGGCGGCGCCATGGCCCGGAGCCCGAGCCCGAGCCGGGCTCCCGAACACAATCCATGCACCCGGCGCGCCTCCGCATCCACCCGGCGCGGCCGGGGAGCGGCTCCCGCGCGCCCGGCGCCTGGCCCTCGGGGCGGTCCGCGTCCCGCCTCCCCGGGGGTCCTGGCGAGGACTGTGGGGACCGCGCGCCCGGCCTCCCCCGCAGCTTCCACTTCGAGAGCACTTTGCGAAAGTTTGCGAAGTTGGTTTCAAGATGGCTCCTCCGCGCGTCCCGGGAGGGCGCCGCGCATCAACCTGCGGCGGCGGCGGCTCCAGGCAGCTCCAGGCAGCTCCAGGTGGCTCCGGCGCGGGCTCGGCCTGGCGGGCGTGGGAAGCGGGGCGGGCCCGGCACGGGGCGGGGGCTGAGTTCCCGGAGCGGGCTGGGCCGCACCTCGCAGCGCAGACCCCAGCGGCCGGCTGCTGCCTGGGCGATGCGCTCGGCCCGCGCCCCCTCCGCCCGGGCTCTCCCCGCCCCCGGCCCGGCCCCGCCCCGCCCCCGGCCCCGCCGCGTATTGTTCGGCCCCGGGGGGAGCCGGCAAGGAGGTGCGCGCCGGGAGGATCGCTATGGAGACGCGAGGGCGCGGCCGGGGCGGGAGCTGGGGGGCCCACTCCCGGGCGGCCTCCCCACCCAACCTCCCGGGGGGCGGGGCAGAGGGAGCAGGGCCGGGAGAGGTGGGGCTGGGGCCCCCCGTTGGCCGCTACCGGTGGGGCGGTGGCTCCACACCTCGGGCGCGGGGCCGCGGCTCAGAGCCTGGCTCCCCACCCTGGCAGAACAGATCCACGAAGACTGCCGCTAGGGGTGCCGCGCGGGTGGGACCAGGGGGCCGAGGGCTGGGGCCAAGGGGCCAGGAAGTCCCCCACTAAGAACTGCGGCGGCTGTCGAGAGGGGTTTACCCATTTTACAGCAAGACGCACGGAGGCTAAAATGTTTCACCCGGACCAAAACTCCCTGGACTTTGAAACCCAGTCGGCAGCTACCAGATCTGCGTCCCACTTGGTTTAAAGCGCAACTTTTAAAGAAGAAACGCCGTGTTGACATTAGGGATTTGGAACGGACGGTGGCGGCGCGCTCATCTCCCGCGTGCGGCGGGCTCCGAGCGTTCGCGGACACGCTGCGGAGTCCCAGAGGGTCCAGCTCCTCCCGAAGCGGGTTGAGGGGGACTGGGGGCCCTGGAAACCGCCTGTGGCGAGCAAGCACCCGCGGGGATTTAGAGCTGGCAACGGCCCGCCCCGGCCTCCTGCAGAGGCCAGCGGGGGGGGGGGGGGGAGGAACGGGGGTAGAGACCTTGGAGCTCTCAGAACCGTGACACACACACACCCGCCTCCTGCAGGGAACCACGGGCCGGGCGGGGACAGCTTTAGGTCTGAGAGACGGGTACACCTGCCTCCAGATCCGGCACAGCCATAGAGGGGGTGGAGGCTTAGGACTTCGCGAACCCCCCATGGGCGGGGCTTTGGGACCGTGCGACATCACCCCTCCTGTGGGGCTTTGGGACTGTGCCACTAGCGGTTGGGAAGGACGCGCACTCTCCCTCGGTGGCGCTGGGGCGCCGGGATCCAGGGCAGCCCTTAGGTCTCCCAGTGGTCGGGGACGGTAGGTGGAGGGTTCCTGGGGCGGGTCGGAGCGGTGGGGTGGGAGTATTGCGCAGTCTCCTCTAGAGGGTCTTTCTGGCAAGGGAGGGTCGGATCCTGCAGCCAAATCTCTGAGCTGAGCTTAGATGAGTCCCGTCTCAGCGAGGACTGTGGGCGGCTGCGGAGACCCGGAAGGGTTTCTCCCCCGGAGCGAGAGATGTGTCTGTGTGTGTCACACCCATACTCAGCCAACTTCACTCAAAGCTTTTGAAACAATGGCTTCGGACTGAATGAAGCCCAACGCGAGCATTTTCTTCCCAGTATCAATGATGTGAAGACATTATATTGATCTCAAAGGTGGAGTTGCGCCGGGCTCGGTGGCTCACGCCTGTAATCCCAGCACTTTGGGAGGCCAAGGCAGGTGGATCAGAGGTCAGGAGTTCAAGACCAGCCTGGCCAACATGGTGAAATCCTGTCTCTACTAAAAACACAAAAATTAGCCGGGCGCGGTGGCAGCGCCCGTAATCCCAGCTACTTGGGAGGCTGAGGCAGGAGAATTGTTTGAACCTGAAAGGCGGAGGTTGCAGTGAGCCGAGATTGTGCCATTGCACTCTAGCCTGGGTGGCAAAGCAAGACTCCATCTCAAAAAAAAAAAAAAAAAAAAAAAAAAAAGTAGGGTTGCTGGGAAATGTGCGTGTGGACAGAGGAGGAAGGAGAAAGGTCCATCCCTTAATGTGACCAGTCCAGGGCTTCCCCACCCCCCATAAACCCTTCCACTTGGATGTTTCCAGGAAGAAGGAAAGGACAAGAGTTCTGGGGTACGAAGGCAGGGCGGATCCCTGAGCCTGGAGCCTCACAATGGAAGGCTGCTGGGGGCGTCTGAAGGGGCTCAGGTGCAAGGAAAACCAGAGAAGCCCAGGAGTGCCTATTTTGCAATCAGGCTTTAAGCAGGACAGGTTGGGTTTAAATAAACAAAACTCAGCTGCAGCCAGTGGGTTTGGGTGTGGGCCTGCTTTTCTGGAATAAGACACCTGCAGGCTTCGAGGTAACCCCAGGGACTGCCCAGCACCATTTCCAGGTCCTAGGGACAAGTGAGGATGGATGAATCTAACAGGACGTCCAGCAAAGATGAAAGATCATTCCATTCACACTTAGACCGACAGCAAGTCCAACTTCACCATAACATTTAGGGGTGCACACAAATAGGGGAAAGGTGAAGAAAAGCAAGGAGGTGACTATGGGCACATTTGGGAGGGCTCTGGGGGGCAGGGGCGTCCCCTTCTGGACCTGAGGGTTACCGGAGTGTAGGCTTCGTGATCACACGTTGAACTCCGTGTGCCTGCTCTGTGCACTTTTCCCCATGCCTGCATGCTAGAGTCCGCAGTTTTATTTTTATTTGTATTTATTTTTAAATAGAGATAGGGTCTCACTATGTTGCCCAGGTTAGTCTCAAACTTCTGGGCTCAAGAGATCCTCCCACTTCAGCCTCTCAAAGTACTAGGATTACAGGTGTAAGCCACCATGCCCTATATAGAGTCCACAGTTTTGTTTTATTTTATTTATTTATTTATTTTTGAGACAAAGTCTCACTCTGTCACCCAGGCTGAATTGCAGTGGTGAGATCTGGGTTCAATGCAACCTCTGCCTCCCAGGTTCAAGCGATTCTCCTGCCTCAGCCTCCCAAGTAGCTGGGATTAGAGACAGGGGCCACCAGTCCTGGCTAACTTTTGTATTTTTAGTAGAGATGGGGTTTCGCCACATTGGCCAGGGTGGTCTTGACCTCCTGACCTCAGGTAATCCGCCCACCTCAGCCTTCCAAAGTGCTGGGATTGCAGGCATGAGCCACCGCACCCAGCCTAGAATCCACAATTTTAAATAAGGGGGGCTGCAGCTTGTGCTGGGACGGCCAGGTAGTCCGGCTTCATCAGAAATCAGGAGTCCGGCCCGGGCGAAGTGGCTCACGCCTGTAATCCCTACACTTTGGGAGGCTGAGGTGGGTGGATCACCTGAGGTCAGGAGTTCAAGACCAGCCTGGCCAACATGGCGAAAACACTGTCCCTACTAAAAGTATAAAAGTTGGCCAGGCATGTTGGCAGACACCTGTAATCCCAGCTACTCAGGAAGCTGAGGCAGGGGACTCACTTAAACCTGGGAGGCAGAGGTTGCAGTGAGCCAAGATCATGCCACTGCACTCCAGCCTGGGCAACAAGAGCGAGACTCCATCTCAAAAAAAAAAAAAAAAAAAAAAAAAAGAAGAAGAAAGAGAAAGAAATTCACGAGTCTGAACTCACTGGCCTCTTTGAGGGGTGAGCTTTAATTTGCCAGTAACTAGTTGTGTGACCTTCACCAAGGCCTCACTCCTCGTGGACGCAGGGCCCGGCTCAGGCATGGATCTGCCAGGCCTAGCATTGACTGTGATCACAGTTGATTCCTAACATGAGTTCAAGGCTGCCTCCTCTCCGTCTTCATTATGCGAATTGACGCATCTGTGTTGGAGGAGAAGCAGGGGGCTGCAGCTTTGGCCTGATTTCCCGAGGGGTCTGTAGTGGGACACTGATCCAGTCCACCCAGTTGTGTTTCCAGAAAGTGGAGCTGATTCCCCGGGAGCGGAAGGGGTGTGCTTGGGGCTTTGTAAAGAGCAGCGCCCTGTGTGGTGGGCTCGTTCACTGCCCAAGTCTGTGGCTCCCACAGGCCACGTCCGCAGACCGTGTCCTTTGACGCTGGCTTGGAACAGGGTCTCTCCTCACTTAACCCCAGGCGTCACCATCTCTGGGGGCCAGTGGCCCTCTCATGACTCTCCGGGTGGGGAGGAGGCTTGGAGTTGAGTAGTGGCACCCTGAGTCACTCTTGCACCTGTCACCCTGAGAGCCACTGGCCAGAAGGGGCCCCATGTTCGGTGATGTTTTCTGTGCCTGGAATTGCTGCTTGCAGCCTTTCCCAGGGGCTTAATGGACTGTAATTGCTGTTTGTATTTTGCACGTGCCGGGAGATGTTTCATGGGAAGTGAGCATTTAAAAAAAAAAAAAACAAAAATAGAATTGAGAAAAACAAGAAGGCAGACACGCTGGATTTCTAGTGTTTTACATGCTATAGGAAGCACTTCAAAAAGGTTTTTTTGCCAGGGGCTGGAACCAGAAGCTACGTGACTTCTGGAATCTGTTCCTTACACAATAAATTCCTGGGTCAGTTAAACGGCAAGGAGCCACAAGAAATCACCCACGGGCGAAAGCTGAGTGAGCCCAGGCCAAGCTCCACCTGGCCTTATTTTTGGAATTCAGGGGGAAATCTCTTGGGAACAGGCTCATAGCACCCCTCTCCCTCCCCTGAAGCCTTACAATTGTTGGGGTTTGACACATGGAAAATCGTGAAAGTTAAAACATGGTACAAAAATGAAGCCTTGAGGTAGAGTTAACAGAGGGAAGGGGCCACAGGGAATTTAGATCCTAATCAGACAGGTCTTATGTACTAGCGCTTCCCTGGAAAGCCAAGATAACGTTATGACTACAAAGAAAAAATGTTTTCCTGCTTGGAAGTTGCCAGAACTTGTCTGATACAAATGCTGGGATTTCTTGCCCACGGGCTGTCGCGTACAGCTACCCCGGCCCCCTCGTGAAGGCTCCTCCTCGGAGCTTGGCACCCTCAGGTCCTCCTGAGATGCCAGCACCTGAACAACCTGCTCGAGGGAGGCTTTAGCTCCAAGAAGGTTCTGGAAGGCTTCAGGAAAGTTAGCCGGCATGCACAGAAGCTGGAGAGGAATCTCCAGCCTGCCTGGGAATGCTGTGGGCTCAGAGCCATGGGCTCAGGTCTTGCATCCAGAACTGCTCTTGCATCTCCCTGGGGAGACTGGGTGTCGAGAAACAACAAGGTCCCGTGGGCATGCCCTCGCCCCATGCT